GCCCCCCTGCCCCATGTGCTTGGCGGCAAATCCGGAAGCGGACTGGAAGTACTTCCGGTTCACTTCCAGGTCCAATGCTGAAGGCCCCCCTGGCTTGGCGATCAGCCTGGGGGAGACCCCATGTGCCTCCCCAGACCCAGGAGGTACCAGCTGCTAAGCAGGGGGGTGGTGCGAGGGAGGCCCCCACCATGCTCCCTGGCGGACTCAGAAATGGACTGGAAGTGCTTCTGGTTCACTTCCCAGTCTGCTGCTGAGCATGCTGAGGACTTCCCCGCCCCACCCCGCTCCTGTGGGACACTCCATCCGCCCCGCCATTTCAGCATTCACGAGCCACTTGGTACCTTGAGGTATGTAGAAAAAACATTTAAAGTTGTGTCTATGTCTGAATCATCAAATCTTTCTGAATCTTTCCAAATTGATTCGGAAGGATTAAAGGGTCTCCTGATTCAATTCAAATTCGTAGATTTGGCCACCGAATCGGGCCGAATCTCTGCCGAACTGAATCAGCAACCAAAGCTTCACACCACCCTACTATGGACTCCCCCACCACATTGCTGGATCCTGCACACATGGTGCCTGGGACCAAGCATCCCAGGGGCTTGGTTGCTGCTGCCAGAACATACTGCAGTGCCAGGCTTCTGTTCATGGTGCTGCTGGGGGTACAACACTGTGGCGTTCCCCAGCTTGCCTGCCAAGCGCTTGGGAGAATACCACAGGAAGAAGCCTGGCATTGTGGGCACCTGCTTGCTACTGCAAGAACAAGGCATGTTGTTGCATCAGCTCCAACTCCATGGGCAAAGCCCAGGTGCTTGACTGCTGGTGAGAGAAATTCCCCCATCAAAGCTGTGGGCCAGATGAACCAATTCTTTGGGCCGAATGACCTGGGTCTGCAGGCCAAATCCAGGCTGCAGGACTTATGTTTGACACCCCTTTTAAAAAATATTTTTTAAACATTTTTTTTAGACATACATAGACCTACAGGAGTACTAGCTATAAACTAACCTGGCATTAGAATGCCTTGAGTGACTTGCTCTGCAAGGTTTTTCTTCTCATGACCCACATAGGTAAGTTTACTCATTTATGGACCTGAATATGGTGGTAATTCAGAGAGAGCAATCAAAGGGGAAGCAAGAAACCCAGTAAATTCTTTTGAAGAAAATGAATCTGTTTCTTACCCTTCTTCAAGAAGAATCTGCACAATCTCGAGGTGCCCATTCCTAGCACCATACATTAAGGCTGTCCAACCATTTTCGGATGTTGCATTAATAAGGGATGGAGACCGTGTCAGCAATGCTTTCAACCTGGCTGTGTCACCAGCAGAAGCAAAATTATGCAGCTGAGAAATCATCTGCTGCTTGGGGTTCCTTTCAAGGGCTGTCATTATCTCAACTAGGTTGAAAAAACAGAAATGTGTCCAAAAACATATTCATGATACTTTTGTTTTCATATAATTAAAGAAGAAGGATAAAGAAAATGAATACTACATTTATTTGCATACCACATACCTACAAATAAGAGAGAGACATTGTTTTTGGAAGACAGTCTGTAGAAAAAGATTTTTCTAGAGTTATACCCAAGAATTTAGTGCATGCAGCAACCTGCTCATCCCCAGCCAGCTCAGTGACTCTTCAGTCAAAAGCTACTGTCTCATCAGCAGCTGTAAGAGGGTTAACATGGGAGGCTGTCCCTCCTGCCTGGTGCCCCGGGGAAAAGTGGGAGCCACTGTAGCACAGTGTCTCTATGTTTCTATTCCTGTAGGATTTTTTCCAGCAAGAAAAAATCAGCTTCCCTGATAAAACATTAGCCCCATTTTTGGAAGGCTGATTTTAGAGAAAAAGTGTGGACTGAAAACGTGCCCAGATATTCAGACGGCACCTTCAAATGATTCTTGATTACCTGAGAACTAGTCAAGAAAGGTCATGGGGATGGAGCCATTATTTTTAATTTTTTAAAATGAATCTAACCCATAAAAGAACAGATTTAACATTCAAAAACATATCCAATCCCTCCAAATATACACAAAGACAGA